GGGGCAACAAATAAATGCTGCCGCATCCCCCGACTTCACTTTCAGACCTCGACACAACCCGACAATATCTGTTCAAGTTTGTTTCCGAGAGAGAGAGAGAGAGAGAGAGAGAGAGAGAGAGAGAGAGAGAGAGAGAGAGAGAGAGAGAGAGAGAGAGAGAGAGAGAGAGAGAGAGAGAGAGAGAGAGAGAGAGAGAGAGAGAGAGAGAGAGAGAGAGAGAGAGAGAGAGAGAGAGAGAGAGAGAGAGAGAGAGAGAGAGAGAGAGAGAGAGAGAGAGAGAGAGAGAGAGAGAGAGAGAGAGAATGCTTTTGAAAAAGTGCTTATTTCAAAAAATGATTTTTGGTCAGCCAAACGGGTCATAAGAAAAATCCAGCAAATCCAACGGTCAAAATTTGGACATCCATTAGAAGAAAATCCAAATCAATAACCCCAATATGGATATTCAAAATAGCCTAAATCCATATCCAGTTGTGCCTCAAGAACAACCAAACCCAGATTCAAGATATTTCCAAACAACAACGAATCCGCAGAAACAGTACCAGTAAATCCGTGAGGTTGTTTCAACAACAAAATCAAAGCAAAACCTCCTAAAGAACAGCAATAAATCAAGCCTTAAAAATCACAACAAGTCCACAAAAACAACATTAATCCGTGAGAACTGAGTCAAAACAAATCAAACAAACTAAATCGAAAAAGATGGGAACGGATCCAGGCCCAGAAAAAAATCAAATCAGAACCAATATAAAACATCATCATCAATGAAATCAAGAGAGGGGGTCACAAGCAAGAACAGAAGAAACAAAGTTCATCAGTTTGTTCATCAGAAAACAAGAACGAGTTCATCAGAAAGGAAGAGGGATTTTGAAAACTCAACATCACAGGTTCAGCCGAGCTCATCAAGAGGAGAACCGTCGGAAGCCCAAACGCCCAGAAGCATCACGAGCCAACGGCAACCGCGAGCGGAGAAGCTCAGAGAGACGGAAATTTTCATCTCGTCATCACTGCAAGCCACCGCAAATCATTGGCGAAATCGCTTCAAACCCGGAGTTGAGTAACTTTCTAACATGATTTCGGTTGGATTTTTTTTGCAGGAATCATAAAGGGACGAACATGAAGGCCATGGCGGACGAAAATGAAGAAAAAATGGACAGAGAAGATGAAGAGAGAAGTTGCGCCGCATCAAGGAAGAAGAAGAGGGTTCAAAACCCTAGTCACAATTTCAGCAACGAATTTGCCCTTTCCCCTTTTATATTTCTATTATTTTTATTTTCATTTTTATATTTTTTTCAGCTTAGTTAAATTATTATAAATCTGTAAATATAAATCTTAATTAAATTATTAAATTAAAAATATTTTTTAAAACTTATAATTAAAAACCACAACTTATAATGAAAATCATTTTTTAAAACTCATAATGAAAAACATTTTTTTAAAAACTTATAATTAAAACCTTTTTTAAAAAAAACTAAAATTAAAACTATTTTTAAAATTTAATTTTAAAATGTAATTTAAAATTTAAAGTCTCAATTCAAAGATTAAAATTCTAAAGTTTTAAACTTAACATTTTTTAATAAATCCAATAAAACTAATTTAGTTATTAGTTTAGTGATTTTTTAATTAAAATTTTGTGAGGATTAAATTCCAATTTTAAAAAAAAAAGTAGTTAAAATCAATCAAAATTTTAACTTTTAAAAATATAAAATTATTTTTTTAAAACTTCAAATAAAATAAGTTAACATTTATAAAATAAAAATAACTTTTTTTTAAGCTAAGATTTTTTTAAAATAAAACATAACATAATTAAAAATTAATTTTAAAACTAAAACTCTTTTCTAAATTAATTTCAAGACAATTAATTTCAAAACTTTTTCTTAAAACATGTTTAACCAAATTGTCTAACATTTCACTTTCAGTTTCGAATTGAGCCGCCACCTAATTGCGGATTTGCTTTCTAATCTTGCCGTTTAATTTTGTCTAACGCTTATGACGTTCCTTTCGTATTTCTCATTTGTACAGTTACTACTCCTTTACTTTTCGTATTTCATTTTTCGTGGTTGTAAATTATGCGAGAACATCGTCGCTTTGCAATTCCTTTATTATTCTTGCACCTTTCCCATATTTCAATCCACTTGCTTAATTATTTTTCATTGCATTATGTACCGCTACTTCCCCCTCCGAAGGAATAGGTCTAGCCGTTTGACCGTCGCGTCAATAGTCTTTACCTTTGACCCTTTCACGTTCTAAACCCTAATTGCATAGGCGTCCCGCCGTGGATCAAATTACCCTTTATCCTAGCATTAGGATAAGGAGTCGCAGCACTCCGTATTAGGGTTCCCGCCGTGAAATACCTACCTTACCCTTTTTCAATTCAATTACAACGTAGAAATAGGAGTCGCCGCACTCCACGTAAGCGCTTCCTTAAGAACGCTTATTCCTCATTGAAACCTTGACCACAGTCAAGAAGTTTCTCTTCCTCCCTTTCGAGGGGAACTATGATTACTCTGATTCCATCCTCTACCTCGGATACGTAGGCACAAGATGCGAGTCTTGGCGAGTAAACTTAGAACTAACCCTTAGGTCTTTCTTTTCACCTTCTAACCCTTAGCATATACCCTTAAGAAAATAATTTTAGCAAAATAGCAACATTAAAACAAGAGGTTCTTGTAGAGTACTACAGAAGTTTTGGGTGCTAATACCTTCTCTAAATTTAACCAACCCCCGAACCCTAGATCTTTCTCCGCATTGTGTTTACGATGCAAAAAATAGGTATTTTCTTTCTTTAACATTTCCTTTGGATAAATCAAAGACCGGATGTGAATCAAAAATTTGTGATTCAAATTAATTAATAATTTGATATCCTATTCTCACCGCAACAGGTTGTATTTGACGTATAAAATGATTATAGAAATATTTGAATGAGAATTCCATTTTTTGAATGTATGGTCAACACGGTAGTGGATGAGCCATTGACACAAGACATGTACGATGCAAACAATGAATTGTCGTCGGAGGAGAAAACAATGGACCTGCGGATCAACACCAATAGCTGCAAATTCTCCTTGATCTCTCACCCTTAATCTCTGTTTACATCTAAGAATCCCTATCTCACAAAAACCTGATTGTAGTGTCTCGGTTATGTCTCCAGCATTTATATCTCCAGACGCACACCACCCGTAGATCTCACTCTAATTGATAGAAGAAAAAGGTAAATATCATTCAGATAGTTGAATGTCTAATCTACTAAGTGAGATTAAAAAACTAAAATTTTTTCTTACCAAATTCTTCTTCATTGTTTTCATCCAAAGACAGTAGCTCCATAGTGTGGTATGTTGTGTTTCATGTGGCAACCGTCTGTAGAATCATCAATGAACAATTTTTTTTAAAGAATTCTATTACATGTAAATCTAATGAACATATCACATGACTCACTCAGTTTTTAAACCATTCTAGTGTCTTTCCAAACGATTTCTTCACTGCACTGGCATGATAGGAGACAAATTGAAAACAACATAAAGAAAACAAAAACAGAAACAACAACATAAAAAAAACTGCATCAACATTAAAACACATTAACACAAAAACAACAAACCAAAATCATTCACCAACAAACCAAAATCATTCCATTGCAATAATAGACATCAAATCAATTCAATCCATGAAAACTACACAGAAAACTCAAAAAATAGATTAAAACAAAATAGAAGAAAAAGAACCTTAAAATTATTATTGGATCAACAATCATATAATAACAAAATTATTTAGAATAAAATTAATACATCAAGAACCTTGTTTGAGAAAAATATCTGAATTTCTCTTTAACATGAATCCAACAAAAGAAAAAAAAACACTGTTCAACAAACCATTTGTATCCTGTTCCTTTTTCCGTTTGGAGTTGTGAAGGTTGGGGAAGAAGAATCAGTGATCGACGACGAGACGCTCTCGAAACAAAAACTCAAACGGTTCATTGGAAAAACAATAAGATAAAGCATATAAGTATAGATTTGATTTTTTCGTTTGAGTTGGTGTTGGTTGTAGAAAGGGTGAAACATGACAGTGGCGGCGGCGTAGGATTTCAAGAAAGAGAGAAAACGGGAGAAAAAATTATGTATTGCAAGAGAGAGAAAGATGAAAAATATGAAAAGTAAATGATTTGAATTTGAAATGAAAATGAGCACACGTGTAATGTGATTGGAATGATTAAATGATAACATTACTTGATTACTAAAATATCATTTTTATTGTGTAAATTATTTTTAGTGGAAGGTCAATTTAGGCAAAGCATGCAATTGAATAGTAATTGATAGATAGTAATTGATAGATAGTAGACAACATCTCCAGAGCTTTCTCTCATACGTACACTTTAATATTGGTATGTCATTGTCAATATATCATTGAAATCAAAGAAGCAACAAAGCACCAACCAAAATACAGAATAATATTACTTATATACACATTTATTTATAGAAAATAGTTGGTGTAATCGTCAAATTTGTCACTCCATAACTCAGGCTTCAGATATTTCCTTCATACAACATATCTGTACACTTATTTTTGTATGTATTGTCATCATATTTTAATTATAACATCTCTTGGGAAATATATACAACAAACTGACATTACATTCCAACACTGCAGAACCATTTACCTCAGTCCTCACTACTAGTATGAGTTTCTGTGTTTCTGCTATGTGTGTGTTCAATGTATACAGAACTATAAGAGGCAGCCCTGTGAATAAAGCTCTCATCAGGTGGAGTTTTGAGAGAGTAAATATGCACAACCTTACCCTGCAAGCAAGAGAGACTCTTTTCATGATTTGAACCCGCGACCTTTAACCTTATCATCATGCCAAAGCTCACTAGATTCAACATTCTACATGCAAGTGCTCCCGTATAAGCAGAATGTTTCAAGAGACTGCTCGGTGATGACAATATTGGATGGTTTTAGCTAAAGCATGGAGACTAGTATTCTCACATTGAAGCTGTTGATCATCTAATATGATGCTATGAGCTGCCTCCCAAGTAGCAACTGTTACTGCCGGAGCTGCCTAAAATGTGAGGCATATCACGAACAAGAAACCTTGCATTCCGTGTTCCCATATCATTCAATATTTCCAAACACTCTTGCAAATCTGAGTCATTCACTAACATCACCCATTCTTCTTCATCATCTAGATATTTGAGCTGGAATGTCCCGTATTGCAGTTTGAATCTTGTTGCAACTTCATCGTATAGTTTAAAACAACCTGTGGATGGATCAAATTTGAAACGAATGGTGTCTTCTCCATATGTAGCTTTCACAACGATTTTTGTCCCGCTATCAACGATGGTTGATTTGGCTTTGGACTGCTTTTGGTTCTTAAAGTTCTGGTAACTAGATGAACTCTCATGCATGATTGAACCCGAGCCACTAGATGAGTCTGTCAAGCTTGAAGAAGTAGGATTGCTGCGTTCAACAACTTCATCATCCCCATCCGCATCACTGTCCATGTCATCAGCAACAAAGGAGCTTCTCTGGCCAATAGCATTACCTTTTGCAAGAACAGAACTAAAACATGCTTGTTCAGGAACACCATGCATTGCAAATGATTTTGAATCTTCACTGCAATCAATCATAGATGCGTTGGTTCCCTTTAATTGTCTATCCAACTTATTTGCCGAATTCTCACCTTCACTACAAGGAGCGGGAGGCACCGAGGCAGCATCTTCTGAAATAGGCTCAGAGTCTTGTGTAGTACTTTTCTCCGGGAAAAGGAGATTTGTACTTTCATCAATTTCTTGGATGGTTGTCCCAGCTGCCACAAATGCACCCATGGAAGGATCAAACTTCAACCCACCTTCAACTCCCTGAACAGAGTCAAGCACAGTCTGAATTTTCTTCAAAGAACGATTCACTTTATTAATCTTGCGGGATGGCCATCTTGAAATTCCGTGATGCCTGCATATCCTTTTCAGAGTTGTAGGGCAAACTGCTCAAAGAAAATCAATTGTTAAAAACAAACATGTTTCAATTAATAAGAATACTTACAGAAATATAAAAACATATTTAGACAATGAAAGGGCATTTTGTGCTTTAAATAGAATAGATGTAGTAAATGGATGTCAATTTAATTCGTTGGATACAATGATGATATTGTTATTTAACTACACTAAGCTTTGAAGCTGTCATACTGCACATCTCACTTTGTAAACATCTCTCTTGTATACTATGTTTCAATATAAATTTGACAATCAAGTGATGGTTGTTAATACCGAGGTGTAACAAGCAATCAGAACCGTTTAAACAGTTCCATCATAAAGGAGCACTATTTGGTCATTTTCTTGCGGATCATGTGAAAACAATAGCAACAACCAAGTCTTAATCCACTAAGTTGGGTCGGCTACTTGGATCAATTTCCACCATAATGCTCTATCAAAATCATTAATCATGAGATCTTTCTTAATAACTTCTCTCGTAGTTTTTCTAGATATTCTTCTACCTCTAGTTGTTTGACTCTTCGACATCTGAACTACTCTCTTTATCACTAAATCTACAGGTCTTCTCTCTACATGTCCAAACCACCTAAGTCTATTTTCCATCATTTTTTCTACTACAGGTGCTACCCCAACACTCTCTAATATTGTCATTTCCAATCTTATCATGTCTAGCCTTTTCACACATCCAACGCGACATACCCTCATCTTTGCTTCACATACTTTATTCTCGTGTTAATTCTTAACTGCCCGACACTCTATGACATAAATCACGTGAAAACAATGTTGTAAAAAGTCTTGTCATTGTATGGGATGGGTTAGGTATATGTGAGAGTTAGGAAGGAAAAGAAGGTGTATATTGCATCGATCATGGGCAGATGATGGTGTAGAGAAGGTTGTGCTGGTTTAGGGTAGTTATAGCTGAAGGTGGATATAGTGTGGTTGGTAATCGGAGGCTTTGCTTTTATGTAGGTGCTGGTGAGGGTGTATAATGTTTATAAAAGAAACGTGTACAACGGTTATAGCGAAAAACGGAAACAGATATCACGAATACTGATCCAAAGAAAAAAATGAATCAAACATACTACCGGTATAAACTGTTGCATTCTAACTCCATTGTATTTTAGAGTATCTTATATTTTGAATCACCTCATCCAAACACAACATTTAGGTATACATTTTTAATTATGGTTAAGACCCATCTATATAACTCAAGCAAGTGCAGATATAATATAAATTGACAACTGTTGCCATAATCCAAGATTAATAAGCCAGGTCAATAAATATACAGAAATTAGGACAAATAACGTTGGAGCCTAACCACCAATGCTCTTTGCAGCATCCTTCAGACTACCAGAAAAGTATTGCTGGAGAACACTCAAGCTAACTTTCTTCTCTGATGTGGTTCTACTTTTCTCAGCTCGCCTTTTCGATCCATTTTTTTCCTGCACCAAAAAAGTTGAATATCGGGAAATGTTAAAAACAGTCATACCATCAATAACATACAAAAGTTGATGCATAAATGAAGTGTGATAGAGTAATAGAGGTTTAGATTTTTGGTCCCCTGTTCTACTCCATGATTCACAATCATTTCTAACAAACGTATCCTTAGATAGAGCACTCAAATTAAAACTCAGGCATTAGGATCAAGGATAGTAGATGTGAACCTGGTTAGAAGGCTCTTTTCCATTGTTTCTCAGGTCTGAAGCCTCCGACGACAGCTTCTGGACAGAACTATGGTTTTCATTTATTAATGATATCTGAGAATTTCTCTTCGACGAGGGGGGAAAACTCGGGACATTTTTTTTTCCAAACCCTGCATGTTTACATTCTATTCCTGATAGTTCAACACCTGAAACTGTCCTCAAACTCTTACAAATTCTCTGCATGGTACCCGAGAGGTTGTCCAATAAAAGTTGTTGTTCATTACTCCCTTTCATATTGATTGGCAGAAAGAATTCCAATATGTAATCATCATCGTTAGTATAAATACTTCTTAGCTTGATTGCAACTGCAGCATTCAAATTGAACTTCCGAGCATGATGAACAAGCGGATACTCGCTGATATCATATGTTTTCACGTCAGAATAGAAGTAAGGGTGATTTGATTGAAGAGCTTTCCCAGCTACACCTTTCCCTTCCTCGAGAGGATGTTCAATGCATGCACGCACAAATCCTTCCATCACTCTATCAGTTATATAGCAAGCTGATTCTTCAAGACACAGTATGCTTTTTTCTTTAGAACTTGAATTACCCTCTTTAATTTGTATTCTACAAGTTTCTTCTCTTGCGCCTTCAGTGCAAAAACAGGGAATCCATGTTAGAGCCAGCGGCAATCTATGTGCATGACACACGGATCGTAACACATCAATTATCTCGGTTAAAGCAGCTCTTTTATTGGTCGAAAGACACTGCAGAAGAAGAAACAATATTCTAAGAAGTGCAAAACCAGTGGATAAATAAAAATAATGTTAAATAAAATACCTCAGGAAGCAGCCGAATAGGAACAGTAGTCCTTAAATTTACAAGCTGCGGAAAAACATGAGAAATACGTGTATCATTATCCATTATTACCTTCAGTTTTGATAAAATATTCAAATTTATAAAGCATAAAAATGCATACTTCTAAGAAATTGAAGAGTGGATCAATAACTCAATAGACTGAGATATGTGGTGGTCTTTCAAAGATCTTGGCAAAAGATAAAGAGGTTTCTTGGTCAAGTGACTGTAAAATGCAGTTTGAAATAATGCAACTACTCATAAATGTCCCCAATGAAAATTGGATGTGTCAAAACCATATCATTATTAGGGAGCACCTCTCAATTATAGGGATTTTTGTGTGTAGGAGTCCTATGTATATTTCCTTATTTATTTTGATCATCTTTGTATATATATCCGATGTATTGTAAAAATAATTCATTCAAGGAAATATAGTTTACCCTATTTGTTCACAGGATGCATATATACAAGACAATTATAGACTAGAAACACATAAGGTCAATGAGTTTTAATTTTTCAATTTAGCTACGATCCCTAATGCAAAGAAAGGACACGAGACCACCCGATACGATACACATCCATAGAAAATTTTCTGCCTAAGTGCCCCTAAACCATGGTGCGGGACAACATTGTAAATTATTAAGTATTAACCAATCACCAATGAACCATACGCTACTTTGCCAGCTAAATTACAAAAATCTCCACGATATCTTTGTATTGAGGCATCTAAGTCCTCAATGGTAATGCAAGAATAACAAATAAGTCTCGAATAATGTGTTTGTGCAACACGTATCTGCCAAAATAAATTCCAAACAAGTTTGCATCATTTTGTTGGCTAAATTCCTTAAATACTTAGCAAACCGGGACAATATAGATCCAAATGAATTCAAACACAGTAAAAGATAAATAAATTTAGGGCAAAGAAATTTCTGAATTGTATGTGAAGGGAACCGGGTCAACTTGCATCAGACTCAACACAAAAAGCAGTGAGGCAGGTAAAATGCAAAAAGGAAAGCTCGAACGTAAACAACAAAAGAAATGCCTACCTGAAGTGAACGACAAATAATTTCCAATTCTCTACTAAAATCAAGCTTTTCCTTCGTAGTGACAAGTTCCAAGACAGCACAACATGGCATTCCAGAGTGCAGATCAAATATGGGAAAAGCAATTGATCCACGAATGTCGTGATTTCTTGCTTGCTCAACCCTCAAGTACTCATTTGGATTGTAATAACCAACATTGGAAGTCCATTCAGGAACTTTGGAGATAAAAACACGACCAGGAAGTCCAGGTAAACAGCCTGGTTTTCCTTCTGTAGAAAATATAAATGTTCTCGACACTTCACGATACCCTGCAAGCATTTGATCTAGTAAATAAGGTTGCTCACTAGTGCTTAAGAATATTTGACCATCATGCTTTATGGGTACCCAAACTTGTGCCAATATTCCCCCACCAGCTGATTCTTTAAAGAAGGACAAGGCTTTCAGCATTTTTTCATCAAGTGACAAACTACTAACATGCTGCGTAGTGTCGTTGATTTTTTGCTTAGAACTTAAGTTATTTGCATCATTGTTGTTGTCTAAGAAGCCACGTAGGGTGTCCATTTTCTGTCGCACAACTTTCTCTGCAAAAACGGGGGAGCTATCTGAATTATTGTAATTTCCACTGACTCCTGTCATATAGAATTGCCCACAGTTCTGTTCAACTGGATTGAATCCATCCGGTGATTGATATAACACCGAGGCAAGAGATGGAAGCTCATTTGCCATAATCTGATCAGTCATGGATGGACCAGAACACAAACCAGCATAATTATCAAAGTTCATGAGCTCGGAGAAGCTGCTAGGCATATCCTCTGACACCAAATTGTTGATTCCACCATCTAGTGATGTTGACCCTTCCATCTCAGTTTCCGGAGACTGCCAATACCCAAATCCTCTTTCCTTAGGATAAAAAGGGTACTCCATACTTAGGTTAGAGATGAAAACCGATCCAAGTATAACCAAATTTAGAGTCCCTCTACGTAAAAAAATTCACAAGACATTGCTTCTTTGTTACCAGCATTCTTGAGGCCTATAAGTTTGTGTACTCAAATCAGCTAATTTTATAATAAAACAAAATTTAACAAGAGTAATTCAGCATAACCCTTATATAAAAATTTCCAAAAACTAGAAATGCAAACCACACAATAATCAACAACAAAAAAAACCATTAGAATTGCTGCAGATTTAAGCTTGTTCGATAAGCTCTAAGATTGCACAGGTGGATGTTCCACAGCTCAAGCAAATATATTGATTAAAAATTGAGCTTAAAAACTTTTGAAAATATGAAAAATGATAATCTCAACTTCTAAAGCAAAAACATATGCTACAGAGGTAAAACATCTCTCCTGTTAAAATTGCTCTTGCCTACAAGAAACTTGCATGAGCAAAGTTCTCTTAATGACAAAATAGAATTCTATTATGAATATTTAGAATTTGGTAATGGCAATGAGTACCAAAGTTTTAAAAAATGATCCGTTACCGCGAAAAAACAGTATCGGAAGGTGCAGTATACTGTTATTCACCGTTTCTATGATAAAGAACAAAATGTGGTTAACTCACACCACGACGACCGCAATCAGTGTCGCAATACTTGTACCGACCGAAATCACGAAAGTCTTTACGCAACCGCTATTTAAAACCTTGATGAGCACTGTGCCATTGAGCTGATTTAAATTCCTCTAATTACTAACTATTGATCTATCATCTTTGTAAATCATTTTCATCATTTGAAGAGTCCACATCACCACTCGTTAATTAAATCATATCTTCTGGAACACTAGAAATAATCAGAATTCAGGTATAGCAACATAAACCCTACAGTTCCTCATACCTCAAAGCTACACACGAAAGCCTTAAAAGAGAATTTCAATCTTCAAAATAACACAAATGAAACAAATGCCTCAAACAACAAGCCATGAATATCCAACTGAAAAACACAGTGAAATTAGGGTTCGCAAAAAATTTGCAAAGCCACAATCTATGAAGTATGAAGATTGTGAATTGAAATTATAACATCATTTATGTAATGCAAATAGTTAACAAGAAGAAAAACCCTAGAAATTGGGGAATGTTAAACCCTAGAAATGGCTTTGTAAATCAATTGATAACCGACCTTAAAATCCTCGGAGGTGACGAAACCTTGTTTCATAAAATTCATCAAAAAAGAGGCATCTCAGGTCTGAAGTGAAGTGAAAGCAGTTAAAGAATTTGGTGGGAACTGTTTAGTTGCTATAAAAGGAAAGAAAAAACAAAGCATAGTTCGGACGTAAGATTCGGAAGTTGAGTTTCTATATATGGTATGACGGTGTTTCCAAGCCGTTTTCTATCTTTCTACGGACGGTGTTCCCTACCATGTTTTCTCATCATTTTCCTTCGGTTCAAACTTTTTTTATTTATGATAAATAAAAAATAAATTTAATAAAGGCTTTGTAGGTCCCAACTTTGTTGTTGATGAGATTTGTAAAATATTTGTTATCATCATTAGTGCAAAGTTAAGTCCAACAAAATTATGTCATCACATTCTAGGAAACCTTTCCATAATCATAAACATCTTAGTCAAATATGAGATATGAGAATTGAAGACAAGAACAATGAGATGATAAAAATGATTGAAGTGATGCGATAGTTTTAAAGAAAGTAGTGAGGTTTCTTCTATACCCTTACACTCTAAATATTAGAGTAAATGATAAGATGATTTTGAGGCTTTAGAACTTTGGCAAACAAAAAAGAAAAATATTGTTGTCGAGGCTTCAAAACTTCAACAAGCCAAGAAGAAAAAGATTCAGGCTCCTAAGGTCGGTCCACTAAAGAAATCAAGAAGGAAACTTGTTATCAATATGGATGATAAAGAAGAGGAGAAAGAAGAAAGTAACTAACTAGAAAGAAAACAAATCGCCAAAGGCAACCCACTCTTGATGAGTGTTCATAAAGTGATATTCAAGCTCTGGCCATAAGCATCCAAGATACTTTAAGTTTCATTTATATATCTTTTTTTATCAACATCACACAATTTTATAATATCGTTCGACTTCTATATTCTTTATAAGAGACCCATATTCCTGTTATTCCCCTCTAATAGTCAATGCATCATATGTTTATGTTGTCTTGTCAAACTTGTCATCACAATAACCAACAAGTGACAATTTAGTCGAGATTTCATTTGTTGAGTAGTTAAAGGAAGTGGTGGAAGATTCAAATTATGAACAATTAACTGGTCTAGAGGATTAAGACCCTAACCATTAATCAATTGGTTCAGACAATCGTGTTCAAACAACATGAATTCAAGGGCATGTTAATCAACCACAAAAAACTAGGATTTTGGTAAAACACAAGAGAATTAAGACCAAAGGGAATTTCAATTTGTTATGACTGAAAAAGAACAACTGCAAGTTGTTCCAACTTCACATATTTCACCAGCATTCATTGAGTATCTTTTTTCAATTACTGCTACTATAATTCATTATGCAATTGTAGTTTCTTTATCCAAGACTTCTGACACTTCTATTAGTTGGGAAGAACTATAGGTTGTAAAAGAGAGAAACCTTATGGAGGCTCTGAAGAAGCTTATTAGTAGTCAAAATATTTTAGTTGAAAAATCTCCAAGCTCTTCGACTACTTCAAGCAATGAACCTTCTGGTAGTTATGTTGCTTTATTGGTTCAACAGTTGAAAGCAAAGGTTTTCAATGTAAATCTACTTCCGACCATTGAAGAAATTTAAGTGAAAAACCCTCAAAGGTTTTTCTTATTGAAATCCATCATATTCCAATAATGATCGGAAGGAATTTCAACTTGCCTTTAAACTCTATTTGATTGTAGATGGATTTCAATGGGAAAAACCACATCATGATCAAATGTTAGTCGAAATGGAGTAGAATTAGTTGCATCTTTATGAAAGTTTCAGCAAGCCCACAATATTTGGTCTAAAGTCTTATGCCAATTCATTGGCTTTTAACCCACGTATTTTTTAATCAGACCAATTATAATTTTATTAATTGTTTCGACTTGGCCATTTTCTTGAGCATAATAAGGAGTAGAAGTTAAAAGTTTGATTTCTGAGTTTTAAGCAAACTCAACCATCTTTCGACCAGGAAAAACTGTGCCTTGATAAGTGGTTAAGATTTCAAGAATTCCAAACATATAAATAATGTGATTTTGAATAAAGTTGATTACTACTTCCTGATCAACATTGATCGAAGGAACAACCTCTACCCATTTGGTAAAATAATCTATACCAACCAAATTATATATATGACCTTTGGATGATGTGGGTCGAATTTCACCAATTAAATCTAAAGCCCAACCTCTGAATGTTCAAGGCTTAATAATAGAGCATAACTCACTTGCAAGAACATGTTGAATACATGAATGCTTATAACACTCTTGACAACCCTTCACAAATTTGATATAGTATTTCAATATAGTTAACCAATACAAACCTTATCAAAACAACAACCATTTCATTTTGTGACCTACTTGATCAACACCACATGACCCATTATGAAGAACAGAAATTGCTAAAGTCCACCATATTTGGTCTAAAGTCTTGTGCCAATTCATTGGCTTTTAACCCACGTATTTTGTAATACACTTTTCTACCCCACGAATATTATGACAAAATAATATAATTTATCAGAGTAAAATGTTAAACTCAATAAATATCACCTCAAATGGCGTACATTTCTCAATGAATTCAAATCGAGGTCAAAGCTCCGTAAACAACGGGTTTTCTCAAAAGATATCAAAATTTCAGCAAAACTCAAAAAGGCATAATCCAAAGTTTTCCTTATACGGGAACATACTCAAAATAATCAAATCAAGTAAATCATGGTTTAACTCAAAGACCCCAACCCGATGTTACACTATCAGAGCAAGACCCTCTACGTTAACCAAAGTGGCCAACAACTCAAAACTCCGAAAAGATCCTCGACGGCATCCACGGTTAAACCTGGTCATCTGCACGTTACCCACGTGGAGGCAACATTCAAATAGGCAGGGTGAGTTAAACGATTCATAATAATCAATGTAGGAAATCAACATATAAAATGGTGTCATTTTCATATTCAACATCATCATGTTCATCAATAGACATCAAAGGCCACAACATCACAATTTACTCACAATCGTCTCATAAATGCAAATGCAACAAGACTCAATGCATGTCGTACCAATCATCACAGCTCAATGGACACTGGGCCATCAACCCTCCATAGATCCCCATCAATAGGATCGATTCTACTCGAGAATCGGAGCACATCAAAATACCTCACATCCGCACAATGGGATTGAAGCCAAAGAAATCAAGGTCATGAACCGATGTCCGGATGCACATGAATGCATGATGCACACGTCAATACTCATCCTCATAATAACATCATAAGTGCATCATCATTCATCATAATCATCATCATCAAAATCATATCATCATAGCTCATCATCATTACATCATCATCATACATCATATCATCATAGAATCATCAAAACTCATCATCATAGCTCATCATCACTACATCATCATCATACATCATGTCATCATAGAATTATCAAAACTCATCATACTATCACATATTAATCACATATAATTCATAATTATACTCATGGTAATCATCATATTATCACATATTAATCACGTAGAAATCATAGTCATACTCATGGTAATTCATCAAAGAAATCACATCATCAAAACATCAAGGAATCGTTGCATAAAATCAGCATTCGTGAAACTCTGCTACTTTCGCTAGCAAGTTCGATAGGCGAGTCTGGGGCGAGTTTCTTCGCAGTGCGAGTCTAGGACAAAATCATTCGATGTGTGAACAACGCGATGACAGCAAAACACTGTTACGCACCAGAACCTAAATCAACCCAAAAGTCCACACGATTCACTTTCCCAATGCCCCCAAAACATCCCTAAATCATCCATAAGCTC